TACATCTTCCTAGTTATTTTCCTCAGTCAACCCCAAAAATAACAAGTAGGCTGACATCTATTAATAAATTAGTTTTGACCATTTCTGAAGCCTATGTAAATGGAATCATACAAGACACTCTGTGTGTGTCATGTTTTCTCAGCATGTGCAAAAGACTCACTGGTGTTCTTGTGTATAACAGTAGCTAATTATCATTGATTATATTTTCTTATTTACATGAATATTCTGAAACATATTCATCCATTTTGGTGCTGATGGACATTTGTAATTAAAAATTTTCATCTGTTGGCTATTGTTGTGAGGCAGGGTACAGCTCAGTGGTAGAGGGTCTGCTTAGCATGCCCAAGATCCTAGGTTCAATCCCCAGTACCTCCATCATAAATAAATAAATAAATAAACCTAAATACCTCCCCCTGCAAAGAACAAAGAGATCAAGTTTTTGCTATTGCAAAGAGAGCTCTCATAAACAACCTAGTGTATACCTTTTGATGCCATATTCGTATACTTTTTGAGTATAAAATCAGGATTGTAGCTGTTGGGTCATGGTGTAAGTATATTTTCAGCTTCAGTATATGCTGACAGTTTTTCAAAGTACTTGTGCCAACTTGCTAATCTTTAAGCGGTGTATAAGTTCCACTTGTTCTGCATTCTTCCCAAATCTTGAAATAATGTTTTAGGCATTTTATTCAGTATGATGAATATTTCCCTGTAGAGACATACTGTTGAGCACTCCTTCCTAGGGTATTGGCCATTTGGATATCCTTTTGTGTGAAGTGCCTGTACAAATATTTTTGCCTTTAAACATTAGATTGATTATCATTTTCTTATTGATTTCAGTTATATTAACACATTTACTGTAAATGTTATTGCAGCATAATTGACATAAATTGAGCTATACATATTTAAAAGTGTGCAATTTGATTAGTTTTGACATATGTATATACTCAAGAAAGTAAAACAATCAAGATAATGAACTCATCTGTTACCCACAAAAAGTTCCTTACGACCCTTGGCTATTCCTCACACAAGCTCTACCACCCCTCTTTTCTAGTCTCCAGGTGACAACTGATCTGCTTTCTGTCACTGTAAATTAGTTTGCATTTTTGAGATTTTGTATGAATTAAATCATACAATATGAACTCATCCTGTTTCACTCCTTTCACTCAGCATAATTACTTAGAGATGGCATCTGTATCATTGTACATATCAGTGGATCATTGCTATTGGGGAATTGTTTAATGAATATAGAGTTGATTTTGCAAGATGAAAAAGTTCTAGAGATGGCTGTACAGTAGTGTGAATATACTTAACACTATAAAACTGTATACCTAGAAATGGTTAAGATGGTAAATTTTGTGATATGTTTTTAACACAAAAATATAATTTAAAAACTCTTTTAGCTTAAACAGTTGGTGAATTTTACTAAAATTAAAAAAGAAAACTAGAGAAAATTGAGATTTGCCAAGACATGGTAGAATCAGTTGTTTTGCTTTGGCCATGTTTGAATTTTAAAAATGCCTGCTTGACAGCCAAGAACTGAGATCAGTAAACAGATGGAGAATGACATTTGGAGTACAGTGGAGAGGTCAGGCTGCAGATATAAACTTGGTAGTCAAAAGGATATAGATAATAATTAAAGCCATGGACTTGGATTAGAACACCTACAGGGAAAGTGTAGATTGAGAAGAGAAAGGATTCCAGGACCAACCAGCTTGTATTCCAAACATATTATTCAGGCAGTAGCGGAGAAGCCAGAAAATGAACCTATGATTAAAAGACCTGTAAGTTATGATAAACATCATAAGCATGTGGCATCACTGAAGCCAAGAGTAAACAATGTTTCAAGAAGGAATTAGTTAACTGGCTTCAGAAACTATTGAGTTGTCAAGAAAGATGAGATTTATTTTAATGGATTGTGCATATGGATATTCTATAAGAATAAGTTGAGAAGGAATTGGAAAATGAGAAAGTAGATCTTTTGAGGTATTTTTGAATAAATAAATATGTTGATATGAGAGACAAATGGGTTGGTGGGAGGGTTTTATCTTTCAATACAGGGAAATGTTAAAGCAGGATTTTAAATGATGGGAATGATTCAGTGCAGAGGGAGTAAATGATGTGAATGAGAAGCATAGCATGAGAAAGTTCCTTGAACTCCAGAAGGGTTCACAGGTAAAGTACAAAGGAGTTTGGTAGATCAGTAGGGTGGATTAGGAGAGTTGGAAGCTCCTGTACAGTGGCTACTATTTTCTCAGTGAGGAGAACATAAGGCAACACTATCCATTACCATTAGGAAGACTGAAAATAACATAAAGAAAAGGAAAATGTTTATCTTGTTCACTGTTGTATCCTAAGAACTTAAAGAATCTGTTACCTAGTAGATATTTAATAAGTAACTCTTAAATTAAAAAAAATGTTTTAAATAAAATCACAAGGAATTACCTTTTCAAAGGTAATTTGCTAATTATTTCTAAAATTCATTAGGCCTAGGAAGAGATCTTTGAGCTCCACAATGTATCACAGCTTCAAATACATTATAGGAATTCTCTAAATGTTTATTCCCCATTTCGAACCAGCAAACTAAATCACATAAACTTGTTTTGTCTTGTTAAATTGTTTTTTTTTAAATTGAAGTATAGTTGACTTACAAAATTATATTAGTTTCAGGTGTATAGCATAGTGGTTTGCTATTTTTATAGATTTTACTCTATATAAAGTTATTATAAAATATTGGCTATATTCCCTGTGCTGTGCATTACATCTTTGTAACTTATTTTATACCTAGTAGTTTGTACCTCATAATCCCCTTCACCTATCTTGCCCCTCTGCCCACCCCTCTCCCCTCTAGTAACCACTAGTTTGTTTTTTGTATCTGTGAGTCTGTTTTTGTTTTGTTACAGTTGTTCATCTGTTTTATTTTTTAGCTTCCACACATAAGTGAAAACATACAGTATTTGTCTTTCTCTGATTTATTTCATCAAGCGTAATACCCTCTAGGTCCATCCATTTTGTTGCAAATGGCAACTTTTCATTCTTTTTTTGGCTGAGTAATATTCCATTGTGTATATATACCACATCTTTATCCATTCTTCTGTTTCTTAGATTGCTTCCATATCTTGGCTATTGTAAATGATGCTACTGTGAACATTGGGGTACATACATCATTTTGAATAGTGTCACCTCACACCTGTCAGAATGACTATCATCAAAAAGACAAGAAATAAGTGTTGGCAGGGCTATGAAGAAAAGGGAACCCTAGTATACTGTTGGTAGGAATGTAAATTGGTACAGCCTCTATAGAGAATAGTATGAAGTTTCCTCAAAAAATTAAAAATAGAACTACCACATGATCCAGCAGTTCCATTCCTAAGAGATTGAAAATTCAGACTGTTTTTTTCAATCTTGGAAATAGTGTTTTAGAAGAACTGGTTTAAGACATAGTTGAACAACATCAGAAGGTCCTACCACTAAGAATTTACTACAGTAATTTGTCAAATCTTTTCTCTTTTGTGAGCCTCAGTTTTCCCATGTGTAAAATGGAGAACATTAATACCCTCTTCACTATTCTGATGAAAGAATTAAATAAGAATATGTTAGTGGAAAATTTTATTATGGCAAATGTTACATAATAAGGCAGATTTTAGTTCACTGATAATCAGCCTTAGAAAAAAAAGTATAAAGGGCATGTTTCTCCACACTCAAAGGTTATCCCTCTGTTTTTCTAGAGGAGCTGTATACGTTATCCCTCTGTAGTATTCTGAATTATAGTCAAAATCTTTAAATGGCACTGATATCTACAAATAAAAATAAGGAATTTTCAAGGCTTTAGGTTTTTAAAGATGTTACTTTAAAAGGTTCAACAACAATACATAGAATTTTACACTTGTAGAATACCTAGATTTTTACTTGCTTCTGGAAGACACATCTTATAAATTGTCATAATCTCTCGTTTTTAGAGATTTATATAATCATAATTTGTATAATCACAAATTGCTTTGATATACTTGTTTAGCATGTATGATTAAAAAAAAGCTACCAGATATAAAAATCAAAAAAAAAAAACCAACAAAAAAACCCCAAACACCCATAGCATTAATTTATATTTTTTAAATAGCAGCACTGCTGATAACTGTTAACCAGCCTTTATACACTTAGGAAGCAAGGCAAAGGTCACATACTCACGTAGTTGTCAGATCAATGTATTGCTCAGATTATTGTAAGAAATGATACAGTTTGACGCTGTGTTTTTCATTGAGGCTAATTTTTTAACCTAGTTCACTTTTTCTTGATAACAGGAACATTCCACTCATAGTTACAATCAGTTAATGCTCCCATAAAAACTAAATGTTTAAAAATAAGGAAAAAGTCCAGACTGTATAACTCCTTCATTACTCCCATAAGAATTAAAGGATGTGGTTGTATTTGGACCCCTTTGAAAGTTTGGGCAAAGTAACAGTGGAATATTTAAGCCATAGAAATGCAACATAGTTGGTCTCAGACTCTAGGGTATGTTGTAGGCATTATTGATGTGGCTCCCATGCAAAGTAGAGATATGGAATTGTCACTTTCATCAAATAATGAAAGTTACCTAACAATACTGATAACTCATTGTCCTATAAATAATGGATTGAATATTGTCAAACTTAAAAATAAAGACATACAGATACAGACATATAGAGAAAAGTAAATTATTGGATGACATCATCTTGATTTAGACAGCGTTTTGTTTTTTTTTTTAAGTCTTGAACCACACTTTCCGAACCCAAAGGTACTGACATGGTAGTAGAACTCACAGTCACAAATTCAGGGTTTCTTTAAACATACTAATGTCAGCAATGGATAGAGAAAACCAAACAGCAAGTATTGAAAGTAGAAACGTAATTGGCCTGTTTGGAAAAAGTCTACTAGAGTAACAGTGACCAGATTCAACATGCAAGTGCCATCATGATGAATGTTTACAACACTTTTTTGAGAGCCAATTATACTGTTTTTTTGTGCAGGGACTGGAGATCAGCCAGATCAGTTGTATGCACAAAGCCGCTTTGGGTCTGTCTTTTCAAACAAGAGCTGCAGAAAACGTTATAGCAAGGTTGAAGCTTTATTCCACTTCGGTAAGAGAAGCTTTCTTTTTTCTTTGCTATGGTGAGAGTTTGATAAGAAATCCTTTTAAGCCATAATGTGGTTAGAGAGAAGTGAAGCTGTTCTATGTTACAAGTCATAGAATGTTTTCTTTTCTTTTGAACTGTTTTTTTCATGATGCTTTTTGCCCGTACATTACAGTGAAATAAAACCGGAACCACTAAGTCATACTGCACATGTTAAATTTGTACTGGAGGTAGGGGAGTCTTAAATTCCTCTTTTGCTGAGTGAAATGTCGTGCTATTGTATGTTTTTTACTGTAGATCTCCCAGTCAGGACAGAAGGGAAAAAGTCAGTATTCTGATACCATGGCTGAGAGAGAATCCATGTGTTTAAGATTTCCCCTGACCAGGGATGTTATGAATGCTCAGCAGCTCACCACCATAAAGCTTCAAGAACCCAACCAAATTTGGCCTTTGGGTTTACTTGCAGGCATCTCTGATCACTGTAGCTTCCTTTCATTTTAAAAATTGGAAAAGCTGGAGATAGTAATTCTGGATGAGTTTGTCTGCTTATGGCTTTTGTCACTTTAGCTCTAAATAATATAATGGTACACATATATATATAAAATACAAGATTTTGTTTTTCACATACATTTCTTTGACCTGTAATGTGCTTAAATATTACTGTATAAATGTCTACCTGTTAGAAACTCTACCTGAATTCATATCTGTCTAAAATAACAGGAAATGGTTGAGAATATAAATATATGTGTGTATGCACAATTAATTTTAGATAATGGCAGATTTCTACATTAGACTAATGTAATCCCTGCCAAAGCTTATCATTTTAAGTTTGCATTTATATAGTTTTTCATTTTCTTGGTAAGCGTTTGTTCAGAAAATGATGATGCAAAATCAAAAAGACTTAACAGCCAATCAGCTGCATTGAACTTGAACACTAAATCTATTTTTTACAGTGAACTTGTCTGTAGTTTTCAGTAGCTCAATTACATATGGGATTTCATAGACAGATAGGTAGATCCATGAGAGATTTGAATATAAATCTTTTTAGGAATTTATCCTACAGTAGTATTCCCAGCTTCAAAGATATTAGCAGCTGGCAGTATTCAGTCTAAAAAAAATCACTAATAAATATTCATGTTTATTTGATCATTTTAATAAGTATTTATTAACTATCTACCTTACTAAATATTTCAAGGAGAAGAAATTTGTAGCTTATAAAAGAAATATAATGTGTAATATCTCTTCATATTTAAGGATGATTCAACAGATGTACTTGAAAATTGTTTATAATGAGGTTTTAGCTAAGGATAAATCCTTAAGAGTGTCTTACACGCAGAGTCAGGAACAGTCAGGGACAACAATGAATGCAATGAGAATAAATTTTTAAGATTAAAAAATAATTCCACCCTTTACTATATGAGCCTGAAAAACTGTAACAATGCCATTTTCCCCTTTTACCCTCTTCTAAATAATGTGTACATTTAATACAACCCACTTTAAGTACTTAAGCTGTGTACATTGTACTGAAAGAAATATAGACAGCCTTGCCCTTGAAAGACAGTCTGATCTAAAGAGGAGCTGAAGAAAAAAAATTATATTACCTGAGTCCATATAGTTAAAATAGTAAGAATAATAAAGTTAATACCTTGTGATTTCTTAGAGTGCTTGTCGCCCTTTTGGGCACCTGCAGCAGGCAACAACAGCAGCAAAAAGCCCAGTTCCCTTCATTTCTACCTTTCTCAATTTTGAAATTAATTTCAGATGGACGAAAGTATTTTTCTAGGACAAGAGCCATGTTTAATGGTATGTATGTATGTGTGTGTGTGTATATATATATTTATATTTTCCTTTCATTATTACCTTTGCCTTTAGAAACTACACTTGTTATCTCTCTCCCCCGCACACACAGACACACACACACACATTATTTCACAGGACAGGAAAGGGAAGCAAGTATAGATAGCACTTGTGCCCCCTGATGAGTGTGGTCCAATAGGACCTAACAGAATGTTTTACCTACAAGCCTTTACTTTTATTATTTATGCCGAGAACATGGTTTTTCTATTGTCTCATGTCCAGCTTTTATGTGTCCTTTATGGGTCAGAATAGAGGCCATTTTATATCATGGTGTCTTCCCAGCACGCCTCATGCCCCAGTCCAGCAAAATGATCTCTTCTCTTTTGAAACATTCTTGTCACTTTGTCATTGTGGCAAAAAGACTGAAGTTGAGGAACAGCATGTAAATGTTTCTCTTCATAACCACAAAGACAATTTGACACCTTTGTCACACAGTCCCTTCCTCTGGGCGTTGTTTCAGGAATCTGCTTTTTTAAAAGTTGCTTGTTAGAAAATTATTTTTTATTTCTTTAAAAATTTCCTTTGTCTTCCTTGCCCACCTGCTTTTCTTACAGCTGATGATCTTGCCTTCCATTTCCTAGAGAAAATAGAAATCATCTGGTGAGTCCACCCCATTCTTTTGCCTCCAAATCTAAAAGCTTAGTTCAGTCTACGCCATCCCTCTCTTCCGTCCACCTTTTATGGTGGGAGGAAACACCCAAACTTGAATCCACGCTCAACTTCTCCTCTCCTGTGAGTTCTCAGGTATTCACCTCCATCTGTCAGTTCTCCATTCCTAATCATCAGCTTTATTTTCTCCGTAAGATCTTTCCCGCTTGTGTTAAATTAAGTACATACCTACCAATCAGTGGTAGAGCTGGCACGTTCCCTTGACGATCCATCCATATTCCTGCCACTCTTCACAAACTGCTCAGAGTTTTTTTTTCTCCTCCAGACATCATTTTCATGACCCTGTCTGCCACCAGTTCTCTCTAATCTTACTCCACCTTTGTGACTCTTCTGAACTTTCTCAGGAAACCGTGTGGCTATTTTTGCTAAATTGGCCACTCTTCAGTTCTCATTTTAGTTTCCCACAAGCATTTAAAGCTTGACGATTCAATCCTTTTTGAAATATTTTGAACTTAACTTCCTTGGTACCACATTCTCATGGTTTTTTTTTTTTCTCTTGGTTGATTTTCTTACTTTTTGGTAGTTTCTTTTCCTACTTTTTTTCTTTTCTGGGCTATGTGATAAAGAGTTCCACAAAACTCAGTCATGGGCCTCATACTCCTCTCCCAGTTTCCCCCCTCACTCCCTCTCTCCATGGTCTTCATTACTATAATTTAAAAACATGTTTAAATATTTAGCAGCAGTCTTACAGTTATGTGCACCAATAGCTAGTGCATCCTTTGATAAAATAGGGATATGCTTGACAGGCTCATTAGATTTGGGATCAGCTAATAAAATACCCTCCACCCTAAACAATATTTGACTAGGTTCTACCATGTTTCTATTTTTATTTCTTTCTATTTTACTACTGAATGTCACTGTCTTGTTTCATAAATACACTATTTCTTTAAATACACAAAATAATGGAAATGGAGAAAGGGGAAAGCATGAAAAAGGAGTAGAATAAACAGATGTTGTTATACTAAGATATTCTTACCTTTTGGCAAAATAAGAAATAAGTAATAAGAGCGAACATATGAGAAATGGTGCAAATGCTGATACAGTTATCTTTATTTTGAACTCTGTGAGATTCACACGGAGATTCATAGTGGAAAGTTTTTAATCAAATCGAGAAGAAATGTCTGAGAAAAAGGCATAGCTGTGAAAGTTGTGGCAGTTAAGCTCTTTTGGGTTATAACAAACAAGGAGAAAAATAAATTGCTTCAGCCATTATTATGAAGAATATATTTTGAAATAGAGTTTACTTAAAAGCAAATATTACTTTTATTGAAGAATATTAATAATTATATGACAGACTCCTCCAGATTATATTTGAACGTTTGTCCAGGATAAAAATTACCAAGAAATAAGACTAAAGATAATGCAGAAATAATGAGAAATATTGGGGAACAGGAGAATGACTTGTCACTAATGACAAAATACAGCCTATTCTAAATAGACAGTGAGAATTTCAACGTGGGAAATAAGAGGTCAAGGAAATTTTAATCAGCTGCAGGCTAGAAGGGAGGAAGAGAAGTAAACTGAGCACAGGGCTGTATTCAGAAAAAAGTAAAAGGATTATACAAGGGAGGAGGGTATAGCTCAGTGGGAGAGTGCCTGCTTAGCATGCATGAGGTCCTAGATTCAATCCCCAGTACCTCCATTAAAAAATAAATAAATAAACCAAATAACCCTAATAACACCCTCTCCCCAGAAAAAAGCAAAAAGATTATACAATATGTCAATGAATAAAGGTTAGTGTGTCGTGTGTGTGTGTGTAACATATACTGTGATGTATAGATTGATATCTCTGTCCATCATAATCACACTTCATTTTGCCTTTGACTTGATTTTTCTAGATGCACTATTTCTGGTAGAAACTCAAATATGATAATACCAACAGAATTACTTGCCTTAGCTCTTTTTTGATTTATTCACATCAAATGCCACCTCCTCAGACAGACTGCTGTAGCTCCCTGCTCCTGTGGTCACGGTGTATACTCTTACCACACTTTTTCGTCATATAATTTACAACTACTTGATACTTTATTATTTTCTTATTTGCTTTACTTTTCGCTTTTAGACTAAAGAGAACTAAGTTTAACACTCTGTGGGAAGTGTGTGGTACCTTCAATAAAAACACTGTGATTACTCTAGTTTGGTTATTGTGGCTGTTCGTTTTTCGGATAGTCTGTTGTGTAATTATTGTGACATGTAAAAAACACCCATAACATTATTTTGTTAACCTAACACTTACAGCCAACAGTCATGCATGCACACACACACGCACACACACAATATACTAAAGAAGTCTATGACATTTACTTAGAAGAGTAAAAAATAAAGGGATTTCTTTTTTTATTTTTTTCTCATTAATTCACATATCTTTTTGTGAGAAAACACTGTTTCCTGATAAGAATAAATAAGCTTGATCCCTGTAAGTAATTTATGGTAATTGTTCTCATTCATTCCTCTTAATTCTTCAGCAACATTAGTGGTTA